GGGGTTGGGCTTGGTAATGGTGGTGAGCAGGGATTGGTCAGGATGGGCTGGGACAGCACTTTGGGGTGGGAGTGGGTTAGCACCCGTCGTGGTGGGGCAGCAAGCTCGTAAAAAAAGTCTTCACCCTTTGCCCTGTCCTCACGCCTCAGTCTTGCTTCCCAAAACGGTGTGGAAGGGATGGACCTTTTGAAGCCAGTTGCTCTCCCTGCTGTGCAACCCCCACTTATTAGCACTTACCCATTCTGGTGGTTTTTAAAGTGTGGCCTGTGGGGCCGTGGGGGTCCTTGAGACCCTTCTGAGAAGTGCTTGAGGTCAAATATATTTTCATGATAATACTAAGATGTTATTGGCTTTTTCAATTATTTTTCTTTTAACTTCTCACACATTGTAGTTGATTTTTGTGTTACTTTACCTGTTCCTCTTTCCCCCTCCATTTCTCCCCTCCCCCCCACTACATCATATCTGTTCACTTGTCTTAAGTGCAAGGAATTGTTGTGTCTTCTTCCCTCCCCACCATTTATTTGTTTGTATATTTATTTATTTTTAACTCCCACAAATAAGTGAGAACATCTGGTATTTCTCTTTCTGTGCCTGACTTGTTTCACTATAATTTTCTCTAAGTCCATCATGTTGTTGAGAATGGTAGTATTTCATTCTTTTTAATAGCAGAATAGTATTCCATGGTGTAGATATACCACAGTTTCCTTATCCACTCATCTGATGATGGACATTTGGGCTGGTTCCATCTCTTGGCTATTGTAAATAGTGCTGCAATAAACATGGTAGTGCAGGTATCCCTTTGGCATGATGATTTCCATTCATCTGGGTATATTCCCAGCAGTGGGATAGTTGGGTCATACGGTAGATCTATCTGCAATTGTTTGAGGAACCTCCGTACCATTTTCCATAAAGGTTGTGCCATTTTGCAGTCCCATCAGCAGTGTATGAGAGTTCCTTTTTCTCTGCAACCTCACCAGCATTTATCATTCTCGGTTTTTTGGATACTAGCCATCCTAACTGGAGTGAGATGGTATCTCAAAGTAGTTTTGATTTGCATTTCCTGATTGCTGAGTGATGTTGAGCATTTTTTCATGTGTCTGTTGGCCATTTGTATATCTTCCTTTGAGAAATACCTATTCAGCTCCTTTGACCATTTTTTTAATTGCATTATTATTATT